TCTCCTTAAAAAGGACCCAAGGCAGCTTATATCATTAGAAGATAATATTTAAAGCTAAAAATAAGTATACAAATATTAGAGAGGTCCAAATACCACATTAAAATACAGTAGACAAGAGCTGCAAAAGCACGTTCAAAAGCAGTAAGATACAATAATCGTAAAACTTCACTCAGACAGACAGTCACTGAGGGAAAGCTTGCCTGAAGAGTAAGGTTTCAACCACTGCTATCTCAGTGAAGTTCTGCCAAGATTATTTGATATAGTACTACCTCATTTCCAATCCAATCTTCCTTTGTTCAATGAAAACCAATAGTTTTTCTGTTTGGACACCCAACTTTTGAAACCGACACAATTCTGTTTCCGGAGCCCTCTGGGAATCCCCCCCCCCCCCACTGTTTCAACCTGGAAACCCGCCAGGTTCTACCAAAGTGTTACATTACCTGGGCGAGTCACTTTAGCTTCCAAATGACACCCACCTTATCATCCTCCAAACAGTGACCTTAGCACCTGAAACAATGGACAGTTCAGATGGACCGTTTATGAGCCAACTTTAAAGAAACGGAAAAGTAAATGAAGGTATCTCTTGCATCCTGATTTGCATGTGCTGAGTTTCCTATTTCCTGGATTGCTTTCTAAGGAGGTTTGACTCTTCATTAAGTTATTGATAAGTGCTCTGTTTTAAAACATATGTATTTGTCTTCTTAGAAGTATAATTTTAAACATATTTTATGCCAGATTTTTAAACATTAAATTGCAAGCTACCGTGAGATCTTAGTGAAGAAGGTAAGGATATAAAATAATCAGTGCCAGCTGGGCTTTCTGTCCCTTCTGAAATTCTCAACGACTTGGGCCAACATATCCACGTCAATTCTGCTTCCCAGAAAACCCAACTCATGTAAAGGGTAGAAATGGGATGGTGAGAAATGATACATCACACACCTTCCCCACACTTAAATTAAACCAGATTTAGGAATTGTGAGGTACTCTATAACCTAACATCCCACGGGGCTTGATTCCAGTTCACAGCGAGATAGATACAGGCTGGAGAAGCAGCAGTGCGCTGAGCGTTTTATATTGCCAGCATTTTCGAGATCCTGTACAGTAAATAACAAGCGGGGCTGGCCTCGGAGGAAAGAACGAGGGCGCTCGCCTCACCTTCTCCTCCTTGTGGGGCTTGCGGATGAAAGAGGTGCGGGCCGTGAAATACTGCTCGAGCTCGGAGTCCGAGTCTTCTTGGCTGCAATAGCCGCTGCTGGTGGTGCTGCTCCAGGTCATCTCGAAAGATGGGGTGGCCGCCGCGTCACTCTCGCTCATGCCCAGCTTGGCCCAAAATGGGACTCCGGGCGGGTCGACCGGGCGGGAAGGCAGGCGGCGGCTCGGCTTCCCCTCTCAAATCCTACCGGCGGCTACGCAGAGTAACCGCGACTTCTTCTTCCTCCTCCTCCTCCGCTCTGAGCCCGAGGAAGCCGCCCCCCCCCCGCTCGCCTCAGCGGCAACCAGAAATTTCTCTGCGAGTCCCTTGAGGCAGGCAGGGCGAAGCAGCCAGGGAGATAATAAAAGAGGCGCGGGCGAGAATCAGTCCCTTCGTGGAGGGGGGGGAGGGGAAGGAGGAGGACGGAGAAAGCGGGCTGTTAAAATAAGCCTTCTCTAAAGGCAGGTCGCGCCTAAAAGAGCGAGGCTCGTTCCTCTCCAGCGAACCGAAGCAAACGCCGTTCGGAAAAGACCGTCCTCACGAGCCGCCCGCGCAATGCTAGAGTGGCGCCGCCGCCGCCTCAGAGGCGGAGAAAAGCCACCCCTCCCCAAGTCTCTCCCCCCTCCCCTCCTTCGCTCGCCGGCAGCCGTTAGGATTGAAACGTATACACTCTCCGCACGCGCCTGCCCGGATTGGGCGAAGGGAGGGCCCGCTGGTGTCTCTCTCTCTCTCTCTCTCCTCGCTCGCCCCGCCCCGCCCCTTTCCCCTCCCCGCCCGAAAGAGGGAAAAGATTGCGGTGATTTCATCGCCAAAGTAGCTTCGCCCGAGGTTAAGTCAGGCGGCTTGGCTTGGTGGCCGCCAGCGCACAGTTCGTGTCCGACCTGCAGAGCCAGCCCTTCCTGTGTAGTCACGGCGCCTTTCTCCGCGTACATTTGTTTAACCCTTCTTTTTCTTCCCCGTTCAGTAGCAGCAGCAGCAAGTAAAAAGCTGCGGCACTGGAGAAAGGACCCCTTTTTGTAACCATCATTAGCAAGGAGGAAACAGCATCTATATACGTAGACGTCATTCAGTCTACACAATTCTAACCAACAGCCTCCCCTGCCAGTATATGGACTAGAAAATGGTCAGTATGCGCAGATACAGAATAAGGTGGCAGAATCTGGTGCTGACTCTACAGAACTGGAGAGAGCAGGACCTGGGTACTATTTATGAATGCCCTTCCCTGGAATAGGAAAGTCATCAGATAGAGGAAAAACAAGGGATCTGTCCCTTTCACTGCTATGCTAGTGGTTCAATTACAACAAGCAGGATTCCAGCCTCTAGAGTGTGAAATCCTAAATTTCATTCTCTTACATCATGATTGGGTAAATTTAGCCAGCAGAGATACAGCTCCACTGTTGTTATAGCCCTCCTAGATCAGACAAAAATGCTTCTCTAGTCCAATGTTCTCTTGCTGTGGGGACCTGTCCAGTGTGGCCTATGAGAAGCCCATCAGTTTCTCATCTACAGAGGTGTGATTTCATCCTCCCACTCCTGTATCCCAGCAACCCAAACCAATAAGCCTACTGCCTCTGATACTAGTGGCAATATATAGCCACTGCAAGTACTAATTACTGACTAATTACATAACTCTCAATGATTTCTTTAATCCTACTTTAAGACAGAGAAGTAAGTAGTTGTTGCTGCATTTTGTAGTAGCTAATTCAACTGCTTTGTGATGCACTGACTTTTGAATCTTAAACCTCCCATGACCCTTGTGGTTCTCAGAACCCCTTATAGAAACATTGACAGTGAAAGGCAACAGTGTCAAGTAATTGGGCTTTTAAGGAAAATAGGGCTTTTAAGGTGGTGGTGGTGGTGGGCTTAAGTTACATGACAGTGTAGAGGAAAAGGTCAAAGAGATGGAAGAACATAAAATATGTACTGTACCTCCCTGGGGTACAGACAGGGATATCCACATAGACGCTTCCCTTATTTGTGCACGCCTTTGTTCCTGTCTGCCTTGGCAATAGCTTACTGATGCTGTTGCCAGACAATGTGGTTCCACAGCAGAACAGCCAGCACGTGGTAATGTATTAATTGGCAATGAACTATCCCAGCTAGGCCGATGGGTCTAGCATCTCTAAGTGCTTTTGCTTTCAGCACTCTTTGTCCCCAGGGGCATGTTAGCAGCAACTGGCACCAGGTGCAGCTGACACTGCTGTAGTAAAAGAATGGAAATAAATCTTCCTGGATCATTATCCCCATCTTCCTTTTGCTAAGTCTCAGCTTGCACTGAGAATGCAATCTAGCTTCTGTGCAAGTTGAGGGGAAAAGAAGAATTTCCCACATATTCCAGTAATAGGATTCTCTCAAGCAGTTTTTAAAAATACATATTTTCAATGTGACTCATTCTGTACTAAGTAAGTTAGAAGATTAAAGATATATATTACAGGTTTTGCAAAGAAATAAGTGTACTGTACTTACTGTATGCAGAGAGCCCCTAATGTATCAGGGATGGTAATATTTGCACACCTGGACACCACAATAAAAATACAGTGGTGCCTCACAAGACAGATGCCTGGCAGGACAAAAAACTCTCAAGAAAAATGGTTGTGGCAATGGGGGCTGATGACTTGCAAGACAAATGTTCCTATGGCAGTACTTCACAAGACAAATGTTTTCCGTTTTTTTGTTCCTGCCTCATGTTTGCTGATTTTTAAATGTTTTTCTATGATGTTTAAAAAGTTAAAGTTCTTTGATTGAAATTTTTGAAATCATCTGCACAATACGTATGGCTTTAAAGAACACTTAATAAAACCTTTGTAAACCAAATTTGACTTTGTTCTGACTTTTTTGCCCATAGTAAAGGTAAAGGTTCCCCTTGACATTTTTAGTCCAGTCGTGTCCGACTCTAGGGGGCAGTGCTCATCCCGTTTTCAAGCCATAGAGCCAGCGCTTGTCTGAAGACAGTTTCCATTGTCACGTGGCCAGCGTGACTAGGGAACGCCATTTTACCTCTCCACCGAGGTGGTACCTATTTATCTACTCACATTTACACGCTTTCTAACTGCTAGGTTGGTGAAGAGCTGGGACAAAGTGACGGGAGCTCACTCCATTGCATTGATTCAATCTTACGACTGCTGGTCTTCTGACCCTGCAGCACAGGCTTCTGCGGTTTAGCCCGCAGCGCCACCACGTCCCATAAGAATGCATTAATTAGATTTCAATGCATTCCTATGGGAAAACGCGTTTCACAAGACACATTTTTTCACAAGACATTAACCGTGGAATGGTACTTTGTTTTTCAGTCTGAGATTCTCCATTTTGCTATCAGGGATACATCTTAAACTGCAGAACTTAAAAATTAACTGCCGACATATTTAGTTCTACACCACCAGAAAGCAGCCTTAATTTTTCAGTGATGTAATATTATTACCATTTGTTATTAGATACATTCCTTTCATACAAATTAATACATATGTATCATGGAGCACTAGGTGCAGAAGTTATGGATGGACATATAAAACATTCTTGCTGATTAGGTGATTCACACTTCTAGTCCAATATTGCCTACTGTGACTGGAATAGCTCCTCATGGTCACAGGCTGAGGTCCTTCTACTCATTTTATATCCAAGATTCTTTATCCGGAAATGTAATAGGTTAAACCCATGCTCTTTGACATGGTCCCCCATTCTTGTCACAGTTGTTGTCATACTGTAGTTATGAGGAGTTTCATGTCATTCTACACATATTTTCTTAAACGGAAAAAGAAACTCATAGTATTTTCATTCCCTGCATAACAACCGGAACTCCCTTTTTGCTTACCACGTTGGTGTCTTTTTCCACTGTTTGCTCATTGACTTCATTCTGATCACCATCTTGATATCTGGGACCACTGCAGTCAAGCCGAATTAGGGCACGGCATCGGTAATGACAGATGAACTTGCAGTCTGAAGAAAGCAAGATGAAGAGAAGACCATAAGCCAACAAGAAAAAAATGATATGTGAAAAGCTTAGTATGTGAAAGGTTACATGTTTCCTAGGAGTCACCATATGCCACATCACCACTGTGTGGAAAAGGATGGATCGGGTGTCATTGCGCGTTAGACACATATGCTTTGCAGCAAGGAACGTGTGGCCTGGTGCGAGGGAGGTGATATCTGAACCACTTGTACCATATGTCAATCAGGTCACAAACTGTCCACCACCGCTTTTCATCGAACTCCCATGAAAAAGACAACACTGAAATGTAATATCAGCTAGTGTTCATTTTTTAAAGACTTCCATCCTATATTTCTTTGTGTTTCCATCATCCCCAAAACATCTTATATATTTTTACAAATCTTTAGCTAGGCCATTGTTTCTTGGGAAGGCAAGTGATTACAACAGAATCCTAGAAGCACTTCACATTTCTACGGACTCTAGAATTTTCCTTTTAGACTTCTCTGGTTTTCTGCAGACTTTACCGCCTGCCAGGATAAAGGCCTTATTTTAAAAGGTAATCAGCACTAATTATTCTCTGCTGGGATCAGCAATCTTGAGCAAACAACCACTCCTCCACTTGTTCAGTTATGACTTTTTCTCTTTCCTTTGTCTTGTCCTTTATAATGACAATGCATTTTATTGCTCTTTCAGCATTTAAGCTAACAACAAATTGGAGACTGTGGAAGAAAGAAACTAAATTATATTTTCATACAAGAAGTCTTTCACATTGTTTCTCTTCCAGGAGATCTAAGAAATCAAAAGGAAATTAAAGTCTAGATTAGGAATGCTGAAAGACTAACAGGGAAACATACCATGTGACCAGGAGAAAATAAACAGATGGTGGAAACAGTACACTGAAGATCTATACAGAAGAAATAAAAAACGACAACAGGCTCCTTTGAAAAGGACTCATAGGATGGAGAACCTGCAGTCCTAGAAACTACTCTGAAAGTACTTAGAACAAATAAATTAACAGGGGAAGATGAGATACCAATATTGTAGTACTGTTTCAAGCCACAGAGACAGAATCTATTAAAATCCTAATAAGAATGTGCCAAGAAATATGGAAAACAAAACAATGGCTCACAGACTGGAAACACTCAATATACATTCCAATTACCCAGAAGATGGCAAAGAGTGCAGTAACTATAGGACCATTGCTCTAATTTCCTATGCAAGTGATGATCAAGGTGTTGCAACAAAGGTTTTTTCTATATATGGAACAAGAAGTGCCTGATGTTCAAGTTGGATTTCAAAAAGGAAGAGGCACATTTCAAATATCCACTGGGTACTGGAGCGGGCAAAACACATTCAGAAGATCAGTCTATGCTGTATAGACTATACCAAAGCCTTTGACTGTGAAGATTATGGAAAAACTATGGGTTGTTCTGAAAGAAATTGTTGTGCCTCAGCACTTGATTATTCTGACTTGTGACCCGTTTTTTGGACATTAAGCTACCGTTAGGACAGAATATGGAGAGAGAGAATTGTTTCTTATAGGCCAAGGTATCAGACAAAGATGCATCTTACCCCTTATGTGTTCAATCTGTAGGCATATCATACAGAAAGCCAAACTAGATTCAGATGGAGTGAAAATTGGTGGAAGAAACATTAATTTGAGATATGAAGATGACACCATATTACTGGCAGAAAGCAACAGTGACTTTAAATGGCTTTTAGTGAAAGTGAAAGAAAAAAGTTCCAAAGCAGGACCGCAATTGAACATTAAGAAGACCAAAATCACGACTACAGAAGAACTATACTACTTTAAAGGTGACAATGAAGAAATTGTAATAGTTTGAGATTATGTATACCTAGGTTCAGTTATCAATCCAAATGGAGACTGCAAGCAAGAAATTAGAAGAAGACTTGAAAAGGCAGCAATGAAGGAGTTATAAAAGATCATCAAGTGTAAGCATGTGTTACTGGAGCCAAAAACCAAAATCATCTACACTGTTGTGCAGTACTGTTCTTTCCAGTCACCATGTATGGATGTGAAAGCAGGGCAGTAAAAAAAAGGTGACAAGGAAAAAAATGATTTGTGTGAAATGTGGAGGAGAGCTTTGCAGATACCCTGGACAGCTGGAAAGACCAAGAAGTGGGTCCTAGATCAAATCAAGCCTGAACTATTTCTGGAGGCAAACATGTTAAAACTGAAAAAAAAATTGGGCACATCATGAAAAGACATGATTTTCTGGAAAAGGTAAAAATGCTGGGAAAGGTTGAAGGCAGTAGGACAAGAGGAAGACCAAATATGAGAGGAATTGACTCCCTAAAGGAAGCCCTAGGCTTGAGTTTGCAATTGCTGAGCAGGGCTGTTGAGGACGGGACATTCTGGAGATTGTCTCATTCATGGGTTCACCTTAACTTGGAAGCAACTTGACTACACATAACAACAATGTTGTTGACCTCGTTATCTCAAATCAGAAGCATATAGTTTTAATTCTTACAAGTCTTGTGAAATGTTTAATCAAAATCTATTATTTTATCAAAATTGGGAGTTAGACCACTGGACGAAGTTCTGCTGTCTATCAAAGGAAAGGTTATTCCTAACTGCTGTTGCAAGCTTCTTTTTGCTGCTGTACTTGGAAGCTGCTGCTAATACGATAAATCAGGACTATAAGAGGAGAGCTGTATGTGTTTTTAATGTTGAAACTGTGATTTAAACACAGGTTGCATATTTTTCTTGTTTAGGAAATTTGCTTACAATGGAAAATAGAACAAATTGTGCAGCTTTGTCTTTTTCCAAGTTTTCTTATTTTCCTAAGAGAAGAAAATGTTACTATTTTGGTTTTTGGACAAACTTAATTGCCTTCTTGAATCACCTGGATTCTGTCACTCTGTTTGTAAATTATTACTAGTTATCATTAAATCATCCCTGCACTGAAGCACCTCTGCTGGTTGTACACTTATCAACCTTAATAAAAGTGTCTGCACAGATTCGTTCTTTCATAAACTACTATGATTGCAGAGATCAATCTCTGAGCAATAGTTTATTCAAGCTCAAGGATCATAAAACCAAAGAGTAACAAACAAATGTCTTTCTGCATCTTACAAAAATGAACAATTCTTGCTGAATAACTCAGTGGTCTTCTAGGCATCTGGCCACAGATTCAGAGGCTGGAGTTCGATTCTCCACTGTGCCTCCTTGATAGGGGCTGGATTCAATGATGCATAGGGTCTTTTCTGCAGTTCTAAGATTATTATCATTATTTTCCATGATTAGCAATCTTCTCACAAACCCAGATTCTTGCTGCAACCTGTGTTTTACATTTTTCTTTCTGAGAACTAAATCACAATTTAGTGCTTTTCCATTTTTTTTCTAGTATGGTTT